TAAGCTCCATGAGGGCAGGGGCCACAAAAGCAGGTGTAAACGGGAGGAGGTGGTGCCTCACTGGAAATGTCTGAGAAGTGCTAGCTGTGGGTCTCTTCTAGCTGCAAGATCTGTCATCCCTACACTCACAACTGACAGCACCACCCTACCACCAACATCACTCTTCCTCCAGATGGAGCATTTCTAACATTTTGAAAGAAACTAAAGACGAGATTTCACTGGCAAATCACACTAATTCCAATCTAACTGGTATAGATGGAATTGTGTCCTCCACCAAATCCGTATGTTGAAGCTCTAACCGCCAAAGTGATGCTATGGTGGAGATAAAGCCTTTGGAAGACAATTAGGTTTAGATGAGGTCATGAGGGTAGGCCCTCATTATAAGATTAATCCCCTTATAAGAAGCACAAGAGACACCAAAGCTCACTCTCTGCGACATGAGAACACACTAAGAAGGTAGCAGTCTGCAAACCAGGAGCTGGATGATAGTCCTCACTAGAAGCCAACCAGGCGGACACTCCCATCTTGAATTTCCAGCCTCCAGAACTGTGAGAAATAAATTTCTGTTGTTTAAGCTACCCAGTCTATGGTATCTTATTATGGCACCCTGAGCTGACTAAGACACCAACCAATAGGAGAATGCTCTAGACTCATTTGCCACATAACCAAATACACATGTAAAAAGACATCTAATGCAGCAGTATTCTCTATCAGGACTCTGCTCCCAACCAAAAGTGTCTCACTGCTTGCTTGATGCTCTTACTTCTCCAACAGCTACACTTTTGAAGACTGAACACTGTTAAAGCAATTATCACCATCCTGTACATACTCTAATGTTAGAAGACCACCTCACAACTGACAGCACTCTCCCCTCAGTCACCCTCCAACTGGATGCACAAAATGAATGAGTCAGGTACACCAAGATTTATAAACAATTATGTTTTATTCAGAAAGGCTACTGACATTTCAGTTAGGAAGTGATTTTGATTGGGACTCGATAGCATACAGAAACACTGTCTCAGGGCATCTTGCATGGGGTTTCTGCCTAAATGAGAATCTCATAGGACTATTTTATTATTTTATTTTGAGACAGTGTCACTCTGTTACCCAGGCTGGAGTGTGGTGGCGCAATCTTGGCTCATTGCAACCTCCGACTGCCTGGCTTGAGTGATTCTCATGCTTCGGCCTCCTGAGTAGCTGAGGATACAGGCGCATGCCACCATGCCCAGCTAATTTTTTGTCTTTTTAGTAGAGATGGAGTTTCATTACATTAGCCAGGCTGGCCTGAAACTCTTGGCCTCAAGTGAACCTCTCAGCTCAGCCCCCCAAAGCGCTAGGATTATAGGCATGAGCCACCAAGCCTGGCCTATTTTTTATTTCTTGAAACAGGGTCTCCCTCTTTCGCTCAGGCTAGAGTGAAGTGGAGCAATCATCACCCAGTACAGCCTTGAACTCCTGGGCTCAAGCAATCCTCCCACCTCAACCTTCCAAGTAGCCAGGACTACAGGCACATGCCAACATGCCCAGCTAAATTTTTAACTGTTTTGTAGAGACAGGATCTCACCATGTTACCCAGGATGGTCTCAAATTCCTGGCCTCAAGAGATCCTTCCGTCTCAGCCTCCTAAGTGTTAGGATTACAGGCGTGAGACACTGTGCCCAGCTAGGACTGTTTTTTTTTTTTTTGAGACGGAGTCTCGCTGTGTCACTCAGGCTGGAATGCAATAGCATGATCTCAGCTCACTGTAACCTCTGCCTCCCAGGTTCAAGAGATCCTCCGTCCTGCCTCAGCCTCCTGAGTAGCTGGGATTACAGGCACATGCCACTGCGCCCAGGTAATTTTTGTATTTTCAGTAGAGACGAGGTTTCACCATGTTGGTCAGGCTGGTCTCAAACTCCTGACCTCGTGATCCACCCACCTCAGACTCCCAAGTGTTGGGATTACAGGCGTGAGCCACCACGCCCGGCTCCAGCCAGGACTCTTCATTAAACAATTGTTTTTTATTATAAGTAGGCATTTCAAAAAGCTCAGGTTTTCCTCCTTCTAAAACCAGTCTCTAATTGCAGATTAGGGTGAGAGAATAATTAGATTCTTTCAGACACTTTTGTTAGAAAATTTAAACATTAAGGAGCTTATATGTTTTATCAAAGGGAATATCCCAAATGCTCTATTTGTAAAAATTCATATTCCATAGAGAATGTAAATAATTAAAACAGTTATTTCTCAAACATTTCTGCTTTGGGAATTTCAAAGAATATTCTTTTTTCTTTTTTTTTTTTTGAGACACGGTCTCACTCTCCCCTAGGCTTGTATCTGTGGGTTCAAGCAACCCTTTTTCCTCACCCTCCAAGTATCTTGGACTATAGATGCATACCACCATGCCTGATTAACTTTTTTATTTTTATTTTTGTAGAGATGGGGATCTCACCATGTAGCCCAGGCTGGTCTCGAACTCCTGGCCTCAAGGGATCCTCTTGCCTTGGCCTCCCAAAGTGCTGGAATCATAGGCGTTAGGCACTTCATCTGGCTACAAAGCAGTCTTTAAACGTGATGATTTTTTTTAAAAAAGTCTTACATCCACATTACAGGGAGAAATAAGCAGAGTAGTTGGCAAAGGCTATGAAGGTCCCAAAACCAGAGCTCCATTTTCACAAGAAAGAGCACCACCCATGCTAAATTATCAAAGGCATAAAGCTTGGTTACAAAATAAAGACAGTAATAGTATTTTGTGACTGAAACTATCAAAGCTCCTCTGAAATGAGACCTGTACAAAATCCCAAGCATGGTGGCAACAGGACGCTTATGCTGAGATCTTCTACATTTTAGAATCTGTAACTCAGTTGAGACTGCAGTAAGCCATAACCGTGCCATTGCACTCCAGCCTGGGTGACAAAGCAAGATCCTGTCTCAAAGAAACAATACAAAACAAAACAGAAGATGTAACTCCAAATATTAATTTGCAGTAAGTACAATATGGTACAAAGGGCTAGAAAAGGTGATCCTCCAAAGTACAAAATTCTCACAGCCCTAAAATAGTTCTAGCCTTCAAAATTTTTATATGATTACCTTTTCTTTATTATTCCAACAGCTTTTGTGGGTTTTTTTTTTTTTGAGATGGAGTCCTGCTCTGTCGCCCAGGTTGAAGTGCAACCTCCACCTCCTGGCTTCATGTGATTTTCCTGCCTCAGCCTCTCAAGTAGCTGGGATTACAGACACCCATCACGATGCCTGGCTAATTTTTGTATTTTTAGTAGAGACAAGGTTTCATAATGTTGGCCATGCTGGTCTCAAACTCTGCTGGGATTACAGGTGTGAGCCAGGGGGCCCAGAGTGCGTGCGTGTGTGCGTGTGTGCGCGTGTGTGTGTGTGTGTGTGTGGTTTTTGTTTTTTTTTTAAATGGCACAAACAGCCTTTATTGGTTGCAAAAGGAAGTGGAAGAGGAGGGGATATAATAGCTCCTCCTCCTGGAGTGGCACCTGCAGACTGGACCACCACCCTTCAAATGCCAATAATTTAAATAAAGAGCTTCATCTACACAAAGTCCAGCTCCACCCATGGCATCCAGTCAGTGGGCTCCTCCTATATTTGCCTAATGCAGGGAAAAGGAACAGGAACCTAAGCTTTAGGGAAGCAAAATGCAGCTTCTTCTCATAAATAGGTTTAAGCCCCTGGCCTAGACATTCACTGGTTCTAGAAAGGGAAACATAAACTAGCCTTCTCAGCCTATTTAAAAATAGTCATTTAGTCCTACTTCACATTTCTGCTAAAGAGGTGCAGTAACGTATTCACAGTTACACCGAGAATTGGTGACTATGCCAGGAGATGAAACTCATGTCCCCTCACTCTTACTCCAGTGCCCTTCCTAACATACCACGATGCCTCCTATCTGGTAATCAAAGTAGTAAGGCAAGGCCTAAATAAATAAGGAACTTGCCCAAGGGAAACCCAAGTGTCCTTAGTCCTAAGAATGAGTCCTAATATTAAAAAGCCCAATGAAGAATGTTTGGGAAAAGCTTCCCAACAAACCTAGCAGAAAACTTTATACTCAGTGGACTCGACTTCTCTATCACACCAACCCCCTCCAATCTATGCCTCTTCAAACTGCCCTCCTAATGAGTACAAAAACCACTGTTTTCATTTTTCCCCCAGGAGAGGTAGGTCAAAACGAAGAAAATAGGGCTGGGTGAGGTGGCTCATGCCTGTAATCCCAGCACTTTGGGAAGCCGAGGTGGGCAGATCACCTGAGATCAGGAGCTCAAGACCAGCCTGGCCAGAATGGTGAAACCCTCTACTAAAAATACAAAAATTAGCCAGGTGTGGTGGCAGGCACCTGTAATCTCAGCTACTCAGGAAGCTGAAGCAGGAGAACTGCTTGAACCCAGGAGGCCGAGGTTTCAGTGAGCTGAGATCACACCATCGCACTCCAGCCTGAGCAAGAAAGCGAGACTTTGTCTCAAAAAAAAAAAAAGAATCTAGTTTCTTTCTGCCAGATTTCTGGCATAGTGGAACTGGGCAGGAATGTACCTACTGTGGAATCTTCCCACACCCCTGGGTTGTTAAGAGTAACTAGCAGAGACATGTCCCATACACTACCCAAATACCTGAGCTGGCAACAACAAAAGATATTCAGAGACCTTAGCCCTGGGACAATAGCTTCTGTCAGTCAACTGTGTTCTCACGACTGTGTTTCTGTTCTCACTTCAACCTCATACCAAATGATATATCACACCTGTATGAGTATACTTGAGGAAACCATGCAAATGAATTTACACAGCAGTACAGCAATTTTGGCAGGGCACCATTACTAATGATAACTATAATTTAACAAAAAACAAAGACTTACACAAGCTTATTACTATTATCATTTACACTGCAGATTAAACTTAGGACCTGAGTCCCAGTTACCTATACCTGAGACCAACACCAAAAAGATCAGGTAGAGTTTCCATACCAAGGGAGTTACCTTGTAAGGAGGCAAAGATCAGCATTTCATCTCTTACCAGAAGCCAAAGGTCGGATCCACTCTTTGCTGTTTAGGTCAAGTCTCCAGAGGTCATTGAAAGCAGCATTGCAGCTGCTCTGGGTACAGCCTCCAAACACATACATAGACTGATTAGCATCATAATAGCATGCGCCTAGAAAGAAAATACACAAATAACTGCTGTTAAAATTCTAAGGCCCGGCCGGTCACGGTGGCTCACGCCTGTAATCCCAGCACTTTGGAAGGCCAAGGCGGGTGGATCACAAGGTCAAGAGATCGAGACCATCCTGGTCAACATGGTGAAACCCCATCTCTACTAAAAATACAAAAAATTAGCTGGGCATGGTGGCGCGTGCCTGTCATCCCAGCTACTCAGGAGGCTGAGGCAGGAGAATTGCCTGAACCCAGGAGGCAGAGGTTGCGGTGAGCCGAGATCGCGCCATTGCACTCCACCCTGGGTAACAAGAGCGAAACTCCGTCTAAAAAAAAAAAAATTCTAAGGCCTTTCCAACATTTTAACCATAACCCCTATTTTTCAAAGCTCATCTATTTTACCCATTCAGCAATTTTGTTAACAAATACCAAATTTCTATAACCAGCCTCCTGTCTTCAGGTGGGTCAATATCATGTTATCCTTTAAAACAAAGCCCAGAGAAAAGCTAATTTCTGAGCACATTAAGCAAGTTGACAATGATGTAACAGTGTAAGTTTAGCAAGAACACATAATAATTCAGATTAAAGGTGCTCAAATGAGGAAAGTTTCAGCACAGCTGCATAATTAATCTACATCTGTATCATAATACTCTAGAGCTAGGCAAACATAGTGCCCACACAGGTACTATGTCCTCCTATTCCTTTCCTCTAGTCCTCCATTGTTTTTGTTTTCAAATTAAACCTGAAGCACAAATTAATAAATGAAATTTTTTTTTTTTTTTGAGATGGAGTCTTCCTCTGTCACCCAGGCTAGGGTGCAGTGGCAGGATCTTGGCTCACTGCAACCTCTGACTGCCAGGTGCAAGTGATTCTCCTGCCTCAACCTCCCGAGTAGCTGGGGTTACAGGTGTGTGCCAACACACCCAGCTAATTTTTTTTTTTTTAGTAGAGATAGGGTTTCACCACGTTGGCCAGGCTGATCTCGAACTCCTGACCTCAGGTGATACATCCACCTCGGCCTCCCAAAATTCTGGGATTACAGGCTTGAGCCACTGTGCCCGGCCAATAAATGAATCTTTATATGACACAATGAGAGGAAACAATTTTAATTAACACTATGAAGTAACTACACATAAAGTTCAATGTGATTAAAGAAATACAGTTTTCATTAATTCCAAAGGGCAGTGGGGGAAACTCAGAAGTAGTATGATCTTGGACTAGTCCCAAAGCAACAGATAGAAAAAGCATGGAAATCATTAAGTCCCAGTATGTATCCAAGAGCTACCAAGGCATGCTGGTTGATTCTGACTGGAAAACCAGAGCAGTAACATTTAAAAAGGACCAAGATCTCTGAAAAAAGGCTTTTTTGATTAGATGATTGTATACACATCACCAGGCATTCCTAAGAAAAAGAGGCAATGACTGTGAGAAGGGCTGTTACACTAAAACTGCAAAGACCAAAGCCAGAATGTAGACAAGATTCGTGAGTGCTAACTTCTGCCACCTTGCAGTCTCTATACTCCGGAAATGACAACCACACTCCTTGCAGTCTTGAATTTACCATCTTGGATTTCAGGAAAAGACCCAAGCAAAGTTTTCCCTGCCATCCATTTCATGCATTCAAGAGGTTTAAAAAAAAAAAAAAAAAAGACTTCTCAATGTTCATGTGAAACTGTTAAGTGTCACATAAAAGGAAGGGGAAAGGAAAAAGTACTTCACAGATTGACTTAACTATGCATGGCTTTAATGATCATCTAGCATATTTGTAGGTCTAATTCAGTTTAGCACACCACTATTTTTTTCTTGGTTTCCTTTTTTTTTTTTTTGAGTTGGAGTCTCACACTGTAGCCCGCGCTGAAGTGCAATGGCCTGATCTCGGCTCACTGCAACCTCTGCAACCCAGGTTCAAGCAATTCTCCTGTCTCAGCCTCCCAAGTAGCTTGGATTATAGGCGCCTGCCACCACACCTGGCTAAGGTTTTGTATTTTTAGTAGAGACGGGGTTTCACTATGTTTGCCAGGCTGGTCTCAAATTCCTGACCTTGCGATCTGCCTGCCTCGGCCTCCCAAAGTGCTTGGAGGTCTCTTCTGAACTATGGCACTAGTTACCCAAGTTCAGAAAAAGGTAAAAGCTACTACTGTTGACTCATCCAACGCTACTGCTATAATCACCTCTGTGATATACACTAGCTCTGGGAATAACCTTTTTTTTTTCTTCTTCCTGAGACAGAGTCTCACTATGCGGGCGAGGCTGGAGTATAGTGGGACTATCTTGGCTCACTGCAACTTCCACCTGCTCGCTTCAAACGATTCTCCTGCCTGAGTGTCCCAAGTAGGAGTAGCTAGGATTAGAGGCACATGCAACCAAACCCAGCTAATTTTTGTATCTTTAGTGGAGACAGGGTTTCACCATGTTGGCCAGGTTGGTCTTGAACTCCGAACCTCAGGTGATCCACCTGCCTCAGCCTCCCAAAGTGCTGGGATTACAGGCGAGAGCCAATGCACCGGTTCTCCCTTTTTGTTCCTTAACTCAGTCTACCTGTTAGATCTTTGGGACTCTCTACAGTAAGAAGTTCAAGTCAGAAAACTGAGGGAGTTAAGAGGTAATGAAAGCAGTATGTTTAGTGCCTTAAACCCAATAGTCTCAGTCAGTGGAAGGGTTAAATCCAAATTATCTGACCTTTGACACTGTGCAATAATGGAGCTGCAGGCTTTTAAAATTACTAAAGAAATTAGAGAAAAACAGATGTGAAGAAATAAAACACCATCTAGCCATTAATAGGTTCACACCTGCAAAATATTTACTGTATCCCCAGAACTCTATTAAGACGTAAAGTCCAATTAATCCATGGCTCATATTTCAGATCTATTAAGAACTACAAATAGGCCAGGTGCGGTGGCTCACACCTGTAATCCCAGCACTTTGGGAGGCCGAGGCAGGTGGATCATGAGGTCAAGAGATCGAGACTATCCTGGCCAACATGGTGAAACCCCATCTCTACTAAAAATACAAAAGATTAGCCGGGTGTGCTGGCGAATGCTTGTAATCCCAGCTACTCGGGAGGCTGAGGCAGGAGAATCACTTGAACCTGGGAAGTGGAGGCTGCAGTGAGCCAAAAACACACCATTGCACTCCAGCCTGGGCGACAAGAGCAAAACTCAGTCTAAAAAAAAGAACTACAAATAACAGGCTGGACACAGTGGCTTACCTGAGGCCAGGAGTTTGAGACCAGCATGGCCAGCATGGTAAAACCCCTCTCTACTAAAAATACAAAAATTAGCAGGGCAAGGTGGCACAAGCCTGTAATCCCAGCTACTTGAGAGGCTGAGGCATGAGAATCACTTAAACCCAGGAGGCAGAGGTTGCAGTGAACCAAGACTGAACCACTGCACTCCAGCCTGGGCGAAAAAGCGAGACTCTGTCTCAAAAAAACAAAAAGAAAAACAAAAAAACAACTACAAATAGCAAAGGATCAAGTTAGAAGACATTAGACAAACAAAAGGACAATTACTTGGAGCCACAATTTAATCTCCACCAAGGGAGCTCAACTCCAGATATCTTTGTCCTCTTAGACTGATATTGATCTAGTAATCCCAACAAATGGGGCAATTTTGAAATGAGCCAACTGGTACCAGGTTGGGTCACTAAAAGAACATTCTTCTCCTCTTTATACTACAGACCTCCAGAAAAGAAATTAGCAATGTCCTATGGCTGCCTTTTTTTTTTTTTTTCCCCTCAAGACGGAGTCTTGCTCTGTCTCCCAAGCTGGAGTGCAATGGGGCCTTCTTGGCTCACTGAAACCTCCACCTCCTGGGTTCAAGCAATTCTCCTGCCTCAGCCTCACGAGTAGCTGGGATTACAGGCACGTGCCACTACGCCCAGCTAATTTTTTGTATTTTTAGTAGAGACGGCATTTCATCATGTTGGCCAGGCTGGTCTCAAACTCCTGACCTTGTGATCTGCCCGCCTCGGCCTCCCAAAGTGCTGGATTACAAGCGTGAGCCACCGCGCCTGGCCCACATTTTTCTTCTCTATTTGGACTGAAAACCCAGCCAACAGCTGGGCCCTGGGGTCCTTATCACATGTATTTTAATCTTATACTAAAATACAGCAATTGGCATATTCTTGCTTCTCTAGACCAAACAAAGGTTTCTGGAAGAGGAAGGCACAGCCCGAAGTATGCAAAGCTAATGGCACTAAAACAGCAAGTTTCACACACTACTGTATTTTCAGTGACCGGCAGTCAATTATCAACAAAGTTGGAAGAGGAAGGGAGTCAATTTAGGCAGCTATATTTAGAACTCAGATATAATGGAACAAGAAAATAACTATCAATAAAACGCTCAACTATTTTAAGCACCCTAGCCTACTGAAACTTTCCTTAGTGCCTATTTTTTATTTAAGACACCTATATATTGATCTTAGGGGGGCAGGGAAGTAGACCCAAGAAGTTCAATGAGCCTTTTAGCAAAAAGAATTTGAGCAACTCCCAGTGCTCCAGTAGTAATTTCCCTGTTCCCAAGTTCTCCACCCAAATAAAGCATTTTCCTTTCAGAACACCTAGACCACTGGAATGTGCTACACAGTTATAGCTCATAGTACAGTATGAATACTGGGCTAAGAAATAATGCTGAGAATGTCTATTCCAATTGCTAAATCTCTTCAATGAAATTTTCTGAAACGGACTTACAAGATACATACTAATCATCCCTATTAAAATACAGGTCAAATAGTCGCAATTTAATTACACACAGAGCAAGAGAAGAGTTCCTCACAGTTCTGAACACTTCTCCACTATTCTATAATCATCTCAAGGGCAAGATCTTCCAGTAGTTTCATATTTTCCACGGTGTGTGGAGCATTCCATAAATGCTCACTAAATGAATGATACACTTTTGCATTTTCAGACGTCAAATTCTCTTTTGTTTCTCCACCTGTATCCAGGGAAAGACCCTGAGGCATTTATCCCATGCTTAAAGAGACTATGCTGTCATGTGTCTCACACCTACAAGCCAGAACATACTTGATAAGGTCTATAATTACGTAACTATGGAAGCAGCAAGGGTGGTTATCTAGTCTGGGCCTGCTGGCTCCTGCAGGAGCATGATCAGCATCACGTACCTGACTGTATTACCTGACTAAACACTGAAACACTTTTCAAAGCATAATGTTGAGAGCTCAGAAGACCCCTACATCAATCTGAAAAGGACATTCTACATTGAAGCTTGCATGATTAACTATGCATACATTGACCAAAAAGCTAGAATTGGCCTTTAATTTTTTTTTTTTTTTTTTTTGAGACAGAGTCTTGTTCTGTCGGCCAAGCTGGAGTACAGTGGCAAAATCTCAGCTCACTGCAACCTCTGCCTCCCGGGTTCAAGTGATTCTCCTGCCTCAGCCTCCCGAGTAGCTGGGATTACAGGCATGTGCCACCACGCCAAGCTAATATTTGTATGTTTGGTGGAGACGGGGTTTCACCATGTTGTCCAGGCTGGTCTTGAACTCCTGGCCTCAAGTGATCTGCCTGTCTCAGCCTCCCAAAGTGCTGGGATTACAGGCGCGAGCCACTGCACCTGGCTCTAGAATCGGCCTTTTTACTTCACCTTCTTTTTTTGTCCCAGGCTTTTCCATAGGAAAGATGCTGTACTGTGCATATCTTTGTTGCACTTAAGCCCACAAAAGTTATTAGGTATCAGAATGTACTGATATCAAATTTATTAGATATCAACTATGAACAAGATGTTGTGAAATGGTACAAGAGGGCTGGGCGCAGTGGCTCACACCTGTAATCCCAGTACTTTGGGAGGCTAAGGCAGGCAGATCGCTTGAGCCAAGGGGTTTGAGACCAGCCTGGGCAACAGGACAAAACCCCACATGTACTAAAAATACAAAAATTAGCTGGGCGTGGTGGCGGGCACCTGTAATCCCAGCTACTTGGGAGGCTGAGGCAAGAGAATCACTTAAATCTGGGAGGCGGAGGTTGCAGTAAGTAAAGATCATGCCACTGCACTCCAGCCTGGGTGACAGAGTGAGACCTGTCTCAAAAACAAAACCAAAAAAAATGGTAGAAGAATGTCTAAGACACGCAGCCTGTCTGTCCTGAAGTAGACAACAATCTTGTTGGGGGGGAGACACCATCACCATCCTACTTTTTTACAGCTTAGAATATACACATACATTTTAATTTTAAATAGAGATGTTGCCCAAATTGGTCTAGAACACCTGGGCTCAAGTCATTTTCCTGCCTCAACCTTAAAACATATTTTTACAAGCGTTTTCTCAATTGCATTTCTTAGCAACCCTGTGGCACAAACAGAGTTTGTCATAACCATTTTTCAGGCAAAGAAACCATGGGTCAGACAAGCCAAGAAACTTGCTTCCTACCTCCAAAGGTCTTTCCTTTTTTGCATGCAGCCTCTCTCACACAGATAATAATGACAAAAGACAGATGGTAATAAAAAATGGGGAAAGGTATGAACAGTATGTTAGGGAAGCAGAAAAGAAGAAAAGAACTTAATATCCACAGTGAGGAAATTGAGAGAAGCTGGTAAAGAACGTGGTTTTTGACTTTATCTTTGAGATGACTTTCAGGGAAGAGGACATTTTCAGTCTGTTAAGAAGGGCAGGCCAGCTCACGCCTGTAATCTCAGCACTTCGCAAGACTGAGGCGGTGTATTAGTCCGTTTTCACACTGCCATAAAGAACTATCCAAGACAGAGTAATTTATAAAGGAAAGAGGTTTAACTGACTCACAGTTCTATAATGCTGGGGAGGCCTCAGGAAACTTACAATTATGGTGGAAGGCTAAGGAGAATCAAGCACCTTCTTATAAGGCAGCAGGAGAGAGAGCACAGGGGAACTGCCACTTTTTCTTTTTTTTTTTTTGAGACAGAGTCTCACTCTGTTGCCTAGGCTGGAGTGCAGTGGCACAAACTCAGCACATTGCAACCTCTGCCTCCAGGGTTCAAGCAATTCTCCTGCCTCAGCCTCCTGAGTAGCTAGGACTACAGGCACACGCCACCACGCCCAGCAAATTTTTATATTTTTAGTAGAGATGGGGTTTCACCATGTTGGCCATGCTGGTCTCGAACTCCTGACCTCAAGTGATGCTCCTGCCCCGGCCTTCCAAAGTGCTGGGATTACAGGCATGAGCCACCACACCTGGCCCAAATTTGTATTTTATAATCAATACCTGTCACATTCAAACTTTTTGTTAGAGTCCATTTAAATTTTGTGTTTGTTAAACATATGCTATGTTAAAATATCATTATATGACCTAGTACTAAAATCTGACTGCTCCCTAAGCAAGACCTTAGAAATACCCTCATATACAGCTTTGCTTTGTTTTCCTCTTAGATAATGTCAGATGTTTAAAATTCTAAGCATAACACCTTGACCACTTTGGAACAGAGAAAAATCCAAGGAAAAAGCAGAGGGCTGGGCATGGTGGCTCAAGCCTGTAATCCCAGCACTTTGGGAGGCTGAGGTGGGTAGTTCACCTGAGGTCAGGAGTTCGAGACCAGCCTGGCCAACATAGCAAAACCCCATCTCTACTAAAAATACAAAAATTCACCAGGTGTAGTGGCACATGCCTATAGTCCCAGCTACTCGGGAGGCTGAGGCAGGAGAATTGCTGGAACCCGAGAGGCAGAGGTTGAGGGGAGCCAAGATCTCGCCACTGCACCCTAGCCTGGGCAACAGAGACTCTGTCTCAAAAAAAAGAAAAATCAGAATATAAAATTCTTAACAAACTGCCTACAATATATTTAGGCTGACACTTTTCCCTAATTCTGGTTATAAAATTAATATAAAATCTAATTTTACATTCTCTTCATTTAAAAAGTCAGATAATAGCCAGGCACAGTGGCTCACCCCTGTAATCCCAACATTTTGGGAGGCCAAGGTGGGAAGATCACTTGACCCCTGGAGTTCAAGACAACCCTGGGCAATATAGTGAGAACCCAGGTCTACAAATAATTTTTCAAAAATTAGCCAGGCATGGTGGCATGCACCTATGGTCCCAGCTACTCGGAAGGCTGAGGCAAAAGGACAGCCGGAGCCCAGGAAGTCAAGGCTGCAGTGACCCATGATCATGCCACTACATCACAGTCTGGATAATAGAGTGAGACTCCATTTCTAAATAAATAAATAAATGTCAGATAAAATACGTGCTTTGGCCAGGCGTGGTGGCTCATGTATGTAATCCCAGCACTTCGGGAGGCCAAGGCACACATATTGCTTGAGTTCAGTTCAAGACTAGCCTGGGCAACATGGAAAAACCCCATCCCGACAAAAAATACAAAAATTAACCAGGTGTGATGGTACACGCCTGTAGTCCTAATATTTGGGAGGCTGAGGTGGGAGGATCACCTGAGCCTGGGGAGGTGGAGGCTGCAGTGAGCTGTGATTATGCCACTGCACTCCAGCTTGGGTGACAGACTGAGACCTTGTCTCAAAAACAAAGAAAACAAAAAAACCTGCCTCCAAAGAAGTTTCTAGAAACATGACCACAGGCAGGGTGGAATCTGTTTTCACAGTAAATACTTACTGTGTGAGAACCGCTGAGTGATTGGAGTTCCAGGATAAGGATAAGTGCGGCTCTCCCACTGAATGTTTCCTTCCTGGACAGCCTTCATGAAACCATGGTAACACTGATGAGCTACACCTAAAGACGGAAACAATAAATCCTTCAGTCCAGACACTAAACTTAGAAATCAAATTATTAAAATTGTGTCTATTACCTGTTTTTATCATTTCTATAAGACAAGTTTCTTTGAGGAATTCCAAATTTATCTGATTTTCATTCAAAGAAAGGAAATACAATTTTAAAACCAAAAGGCAATCTTTTCATTTTATCAAGTTCAGGGAGGTGAAGTGACATTAAAAATTACAAAATTAGCTCACACTGTGACTCTAGTCCCTTTTATGTTATCTCATAAGGCAACATATCAAGATCATTGATATTATTTACTCCAAAACAAAGGTGTTGGGGGATAATTCAGCCTTATAAAAGAGTATGATAAAACAATGTCTGGAGACTGGGCACAGTAGCTCACGCCTGTAATCCCAGCACTTTGGGCGGCTGAGGCGGGCAGATCACCTGAGGTCAGGAGTTCAAGACCAGCCTGGCCAACATGATGAAACCCTGTCCCTACTAAAAATACCAAAAATTAGCCAGGCGTAGCAGTGGGTGCCTGTAACCCCAGCTTCTCAGAAGGCTGAAACAGGAGAATTGCTTGAACCCAGGAGGCAGAGGCTGCAGTGAGCCAAGATCATGCCACTGCACTTCAGCCTGGGCAACAAGTGCGAAACTATCTCAAACAAAACAAAAAAACAATGTCTGGAACATAACAGGTGTTCTGTAAATATCTATAGTTGGAAACTATAATAAAGCATTAGCTTACAATGGATTACATTTTGTTTATTTATTCATTTATTTATTTTAGACAGGGTCTCCTTCTGTTACCCAGACAGGAGTGGCATGACTTTGGCTCACTGCAACCTCTGCCTCCTAGGCTCAAGTGATACTCCCACCTCCGCCTCCTGGGTAGCTGGGACTACAGGCAAGCACCACCAGGCTTGGCTAAAATGGATTATGAAATATATAACTCAGGAAAGTTTTTGTTTCTTTATGCTGGGGGGGACAGAGTCTCGCTCTGTCTCCCAGGCTGGAGTGTGGTGGTGCAATCTTGGCTCACTGCAATCTCCGCCTCCTGGGTTCAAGCAATTCTCCTGCCTCAGTCTCCTGAGTAGCTGGGATTAAGACATGCATCACCACACCCAGCTAATTTTTCTATGTTTAGTAGAGACAGGATTTCACCATGTTGGCCAGGCTGGTCTCGAACTCCTGACCTCAGGTGATCCCCCTGCCTCAGCCTCCCAAAGTGCTAGGATTAAGGCATGAGCCGCCACTCCCAGCCAGGAAAGTTTTTTAAAAGGTGAGAGGCCAGGCACAGTGGCTCATGCCTGTAATCCCACGCAGTCCTAGTCAAAACCCCGGCAAGTTATTTTGTGCATATCAACAAACTGATTCAAAAGTTTATGTGGAGAAGCAAAAGACCCAGAATAGCCAAGAAAACATGGAAGAAGAAGAACAAAGTCAGAAGACTGACACCACCTGACTTCAAGACTTACTATAAAAGCTACAGTAATCAGGACAGTGTGGGATGGGCGTGGTAGCTCACGCCTATAATCCAAGCACTCTGGAGGCCAAGGCGGGCGAATCACCTGAGGTTGGGAGTTCAAGACCAGCCTGACCAACATGGTGAAACCCTGTCTTAAAAAAAAAAAAAAAAAAAAAAAGACAGTGTCGTATTCACAAATAATAGACAAATAAATCGATGGAACAGAATAGAGAGCCAAGAAATAGACCCATACAAATACAGTCCACTGTATTTAATAGTGGTGGGGTCTCACTATATTGCCCAGGCTGGTCTCAAAACTCCTGAGCTCAAGCAATCATCCCGTCTCAGCCTCCCAAAGTGCTGGAATTATAGGCATGAGCCACTGCGTCCAGCCTCCACTGATCTTTGACAAAGAAGCAAAGGCAATGCAATGGAGAAAACAGAGCCTTTTGCCAGGCTCAGTGACGTATGCCTGTCATCCTAGCTAAATGAGAAGCTGAGGCAGAAGGAACGTTGGAGCCCAGGAGTTTGAGGCTATAGTGCACAATGATCCCACTTATGAACGGCTACTGAATTTCAGCTGGGCAACACAGTGAGACCCCACCTCCCTTCCCTGCACCCTCTTTTGAGATTGGGTCTCGCTTCGTCACCTAGATGGAGTGCAGTGGTGCAATCTCTGCTCACTGCAACCTCTGTCTCCTGGGCACAAGGGATCCTCCCACCTCAGCCTCCTGAGTAGTTGGGACTACAGGCATGCACCACCACACCTGGCTAATTTCTGGTTTTGTTGTTGTTGTTTTGTAGAGATGGGGTTTGGCTATGTTCTCAGGCTGAGAGATCCCATCACTTTTTTTTTTTTTTTTTTTTTTTTTTGAGAAGGAGTCTCATTCTGTTGCCCAGGCTGGAGTGCAGTGGCGCAATGTCAGCTTACTGCAACCTTCACCACCCAGGTTCAAATGATTCTCCTGCCTCAGGTTCTCAAGTAGCTGGGATTACAGGTGTGTGCCACAATGCCCAGCTAATTTTGCATTTTCAGTAGAGATGGGGTTTTACCATGTTGGGTAGCCTGTTCTCAAATTCCTGATCTGAAGTGATCTGCCCACCTCAGCCTCCCAAAATGCTGGGATTACAGGCATGAGCCATCATGCCTGGCCAGAAGACCCCATCCCTAAAAGAAAAAAAAGCGCCTTTTCCAAAAATGGTGCTAAAACAAATCAAAATCTACATGCAAGAAAATGAATCTAGACATCTTTCACGAAAATGAACTCAAAATGAATCACAGTCCTAAATGTAAAACATAAAACTCCTGGAAGATAACAGGAGAAAATCCAGATGACCTGTGACTGGGGACAACTTTTTAGACACAACACCAAAGGCATGATACATGAAAGAAAGAATGGCTAGGCATGGTAGCTCATCCCTGTAATCCCAACACTTTGGGAGGCAAAGGTAGGAGGATCACTTGAGTCCAGGAGTTCAAGATCAGCCTGAGCAACATAGGGAGACCCTGTCTCAACAAAGTATTTTTTTTTTTAATTAGCCGGGTGTGGCCAGGTGCAGTGGCTCACACCTGTAATTCCAGCACTTTGGAAGGTCGAGGCGGGTGGATTACTTTAAGACAGGACTTTGAGACCAGCCTGGTCAACATGGTAAAACCCCGTCTCTACTAAAAACATAAAAAAGGCCGGGCGCGGTGGCTCAAGCCTGTAATCCCAGCACTTTGGGAGGCCGAGGCGGGTGGATCACGAGGTCAAGAGATCGAGACCATCCTGGTCAACATGGTGAAACCCCGTCTCTACTAAAAATACAAAAAATTAGCTGGGCATGGTGGCGCGTGCCTGTAATCCCAGCTACTCAGGAGGCTGAGGCAGGAGAATTGCCTGAACCCAGGAGGCGGAGGTTGCGGCGAGCCGAGATCGCGCCATTGCACTCCAGCCTGGGTAACATGAGTGAAACTCCGTCTCAAAAAAAAAAAAAAAAACCCAAAAAACAAAAAACAAAAAAAAACAGAAAAATTAGCCAGGCATAGTAGCATGCACCTGTAATCCCAGCTACTTGCTGTAATCCCAGCTACTTGGGAGGCTGAAACAGGAGAATTGCTTGAACCCGGGAAGTAGAGGTTGCAATGAGCTAAAATTATGCCACTGTACTCCAGCCTGGGCGATGGAGTGATTCCATCTGGAAAAAAAGAAAAAAAAAATAGCTGGGTGTGGTGGCATGTGCCTGTAGTATAGCTACTTGGTAAGCTGAAGTCAGAGGATCGCTCGAGCCTTGGAGGTCGAGGCTGCAGTGAGCCATGATCACACCACTAGACTCCAGCGTGGGTGACAAAGCAAGACCTTAATCCCCTCCCAAAAATAACTGATAAGCCAAAATTCATTAAAACTAAAAGTTTCTGCTCTGTGAAAAATACTGTCAAGAGAATGAGAAGATAGACTGAGAGAAAATATTTGCAAAAGACGTATCTGATAAAAGATGGTTACATATAATATCCAAAGAACTCTTATAACTCAACAATATTAGGGCCAGGCACAGTGGCTCACGCTTGTAATCCTAGCACTTTGGGAGGCCGAGACGGGTGGATCATTTGAGTTCAGGAGTTCGACACCAGCTTGGTCAACATAGTGAAACCCTATCTCTACTAAAAATGCAAAAATTAGCCGGGAATTGCTTGAACCCAGGAGGAGGAAGTTCCAGTGAACCAGTATTATGCCACTGCACTCGAGCCTGGGTAACAGAGCAAGGCTTCGTCTCAAGAAAAAAAAGCCCTCAATAATATTAATAAACAATCCAATTAAAAAATGGGTCAAGCCGGGCGCGGTGGCTCAAGTCTGTAATCCCAGCACTTTGGGAGGCTGAAGTGGGTGGATCACGAGGTCAAGAGATCGAGACCATCCTGGTCAACACGGTGAAACCCCGTCTCTACTAAAAATACAAAAAATTAGCTGGGCATGGTGGCGCGTGCCTGTAATCCCAGCTACTGAGGAGGCTGAGGCAGGAGAATTGCCTGAACCCAGGAGGCGGAGGTTGCGGTGAGCCGAGATCGAGCCATTGCCCCCCATCGGGGGTAACAGGGAAAAACCCCCACCCAAAAAAAAAAAAAAAAAAATGGGTCAAAAGCCTGGCGTGGTGGCTCATAATTCCAGGACTTTAGCAGGTTCAGGTGGGAAGAGCACTTGAGCCCAAGAGTTCAGGATCAGCCTGGGCAACACAGTGAGACTCCATCTCTACAAAAATAAATAAATACAAAAATTAGCTGGGTGTGGCAGTACACACCTGTAGTCCCAGCTACTTAGGAGGCTGAGGCAAGAGGATTGCTTGAGCCCAGGAAGTCGAGGCCACAATGCACTATGATCATGCTACTGTGCTCCAGCCTGGGTGACAGAGGAAGACCTTGTCTCAAAAAAATAAAATAAATAAATAAATATATATATATATATATATATAAATCTGTATGTGTGTGTATACATATATATTTAAAATATATATGCAGAAATAAATATGGGTCAAAGACCTTAAACAGACACTTCAAAGAAGATATATGGATAACACATAAGCACATGAAAATATGCTCTATATCATGTCAACAGGGAAATGCAAATTAAAATGAGATGCCACTACACATCTATGAGAATGATGAAAATCCCAGCTACTACTACAAATGCTGGTGAGAATGTGGAGCAACAAGAACTCTCATTCACTGCCAGTGGGAGTACAAAATGGTTCAATCACTTCAAGAAACAGTTTGGCAGTTCCTTACAAAACTAACCAACCTCTTACCATATGATCCAGCAATTGTGCACCTTGGTATTTACCCAAAGGAGCTGAGAAATAATGTCCACATAAAAACCTGGACAAAAATGTTTACACCAGCTTTATTCATAATTGTAAAAACTTGGAAGCAACCAAGATACCCTTTTAGTAAGTGAACAGGTAAACAAACTGCAATGCATCTAGACAATGAAATATTACTAAGCAGTAACAAAAAAAGAGCTAACAAATCATGAAAAGAAATGGAGGCGGCTGGGCACAGTGGCTCACGCCTGTAATCCTAACACTTTGCTAAGACAGGAAAATCACTTGAGCTCAGGAGTTTGAGACCAGCCTGGGTAACAGCAAGATCCTGTCATTATAAAAAAATTCTTTAAAAGTACCCAGGCATGATGGTGAGCACCTGTGGTCTCAGCTATTCTGGGAGGCTGAGGTGGGAGGATCACTTGAACCTGGGAGGTGGAGGTTGTAGTGAGCCAAAATCCACACCAATGCACTCCAGTCTGGGCAACAGAACAAGACCCTATCTCAAAATATAAGGAAGAAGCTGGGCGTGGTGGCTCACACCTGTAATCCCAGCACTTTGGGAAGCCGAGGTGGGCAGATCACAAAATCAGGAGTTCAAGACCAGCCTGACCAACATCATGAAACCTGTCTCTACAAAAAATACAAAAATTATCTGGGTGTGGTGGTGCATGCCTATAGTCCCAGCTATTCAGGAGGCTGAGGCAGGAGAATCACTTGAACCTGAGAGGCAGAGGTTGCAGTGAGCCAAGACTGCATCACTGCATTCCAGCCTTTAGACTTGGGATATAACAATGTTTCAATATAGGTTCATCAATTGTAACATATGTACCACTCTGGTGGGGGATGTTGATAATACAATGTTTCAGTATAGGTTCCTCAATTGTAACATATGTACCACTCTGGTAGGGGAAGAGGCTATACATGTGTCAGGGTAGGGGGTACATGAGAAATCGGTTTCTTTTTTTGCGAGGGAGTCTCACTCTGTCACCCGGGCTCAAGTGCAATGGCTTGATCTCAGCTCACTGCAACCGCTGCCTCCTAAGTTCAAGCGATCCTCCTGCCTCAGCCTCCCGAGTAGCTGGGACTACAGGTGCCCACCACCATGCCTAGCTGATTTTTGTATTTTTAGTAGAGATGGGGTTTCACTATATTGGCCAGGCTGGCCTTGAACTCCTGACCTCAGGTGATCTGCCCACCTTAGCCTCCCAAAGTGCTGGGATTACAGGCGTGAGCCACCGCACCTGCTCAGAGAAATCTGTTTCTCCTGCTCAATTTTGCTGTGAACCTAAATGTGCTATTAAAATAAAAAAAAAAAAAAAAAAGAGTCTATTAAACTTAAAAACAAACAAACAAAACTATCTCCTCAGTGACTTCTGCCAGAAAGATCGATCTAAGACTGTGACCATTAGGGTAGGGTTCTTCTCTCTTTAAAAACATAAAAGACTGCCAAAGAAAACCTAAGCATAAATTCATATATTTGATTTCACAGTCCCTTATCTGTGGTTTTCCTCCCTTTATTTGAGAAGTGAAACCATGTATTTCCACAGGGCAGGGAGCCAATCTCTCCTGAAGAGCCCATTAACTCAGAATACAGAAGCAGGTTGTGTGTGCCAGTATTAGCAGTTATAATAATGAGCACAGGGCCCACAGAGCAGTTTCAACACAGCTGGTCCTTAGCCCTCTAGGTGGACTTTGGGAGTTGACAAGGACTCCCCTCCCCATAAGAACCACCTTGATGCAAGGAAAATATTTTAAAGCTGATTGATTCTGATCTAAAGGTTGTTCTCTGTTATATCTTTGGCTTCCTTATTCCCCCAGGAAAGAACACATCAAGACAATACTTGCTTTGATCAAAAATGACTCGATTGATCATCTTCAAACAAAAAAAATGGGCCCTTTCCACTTAAGATGCAATGAAGCCAATAACTGCTTTCTGCTAATTAAAAATACAGCATGGCTAGCAACATAAACATTTAGCAAAAAGTTGAAATCCTTATTAGGAAAAGGATGAGAAAAAGAGAAAGTTGTTTTTTGTTTTTTGGTTTTTTTGGAGACAGAGTCTCGCTCTGTCGCCAGGCTAAAGTGCAGTGGCACTATCCCAGCTCACTGCAACTTCCGTTTTCCGGTTTCAAGCAATTCTCCTGCCTCAGCCTCCCGAGTAGCTGGGACCACAGGCATGCACCACCACGCCTAGCTAATTTTTGTATTTTTAGGAGAGACGGGGTTTCACCATGTTGGCCAGGATGGTCTCGATTTCTTGACCTCATGATCTGCCCGCCTCAGCCTCCCAAAGTGCTGGGATTATGGGTGTGAGCCATGGCGCCCAGCTGAAACTTGATTTTTTTTTTTTTTTTTTTTTGAGTCGGGGTTTCGCTCTTGTTACCCCAGGTGGGGTGCAATGGCGCGATCTCGGCTCACCGCAACCTCCGCCTCCTGGGTTCAGGCAATTCTCCTGCCTCAGCCTCCTGAGTAGCTGGGATTACAGGCACGCGCCACCATGCCCAGCCAATTTTTTGTACTTTAGTAGAGACGGGGTTTCACCATGTTAACCAGGATGGTCTCGATCTCTTGACCTCGTGATCCACCCGCCTCGGCCTCCCAAAGTGCTGGGATTACAGGCTTGAGCCACCGTGCCCGGCCTTAACTTGATTTATAATTTGAGTCAGAGTCTCATTCTGTCACCCAAGCTGGAGTGCAGCGGCGCAATCTCAGCTCACTGCAACCTCTGCTTCCCGGGTTCAAGCAATTCTCCTGCCTCACCCTCCCGAACAGCTGGGATTACAGACGCTCACCACCATGCCCAGCAACTTTTTGTACTTTTAGTGGAGACAGGGTTTCACCACATTGCCAGGCTGGTCTCAAACTCCTGACCTCAGGTGATCCACCTGCCTCAGCCTCCCAAAATGCTGGGATTACAGGTGTGAGCCACCGCGCCCAGCCAAGAAACATATTTTAAAAAGTAAAGGATGTACATAGGGTCTTTGCAGTTTAGAGATAAAATTCAAGTGACAAAAGCTTTTCAAAAGAACACAGTTGCTAAAAGTAGCTACTCAGAGACAATATGCAGCCTTAATAAGAGCATAGACTCTAAAGCCAGATTGCCTGAATATGAATCTTTAAGCCTGCATTTACTGGCCAGGTGCAGTGGCTCACCAGGGTAAGAAAAAAAGGAAAATGTAGTATCATCTAATGCTAGATTTTATAACCATAATACATTTAAGGGAAGAAAAAAACTAAATTTGGAGTCTAAAAATAAATCAATGAAATTTGAAATCAATAAATAAACCTTTCTCCTTTCCACAGTACCTTTGATGAGTCGATACCACTGTTTGCAGACAAGGGCTGCAGTTTTGTGTTCCTGATACGGTGAGAGAAAGGACAGGATATACTCCAAAACCTCTTCTGGCAGCTCCAACATGGACCTATTATGTCGAGTCTCCTCAGCCTCCAATGCTGGGTGGGGCTCCTCATCTTGCTCCATTGTCCCTTCCAGCACAGTTTCTTCTTGGTCCACAGCCATGAAACTGTCATCTTCACTGTCCGAGGAGCTGGCCATGACATTCCACTCAACAGCTGTAATAGGTAAAACACAAGTATCAGTATCCCACTGTCAGAAACTCAAAAACAATTCAGGCATGCACATCCAAGCTCTTCATAATTTCGTTTCCACTCTCAGTGTAAAATCTGCTCTTCACTTTCCCACACCGTTTGTGAGCCACCCTAATTTGACAGGTACAGCTCAAATACCAAGCCCATCCCCAAAGGCCTCTGATTACATTTTTTCTCTTCACTGAAAATCATAATGGCAGCTAAGGTCTGGTATAACCATTAACCAGAAAACTCGTTTTCCAACAATTCCTCTAACTCAAAGATCTAACTGACAGCAAGAGAAGAGCATCCAGCCTCGTTGGCCAAGAACAGTGATCTATAAGACCTCAAACTTTGAAGAAAAAACTAACTCTGGGTCCTGCAAAAAGTAATAACATTCTGAGAATATGGGTTAAAAAATAAGTTTTTTGGCCAGACACAGTGTCTCATGCCTGTAATCCCAGCACCGGGCTGGGTGCAGTGGCTCATGCCTGTAATCCCAGCACTTTGGGAGGCTGAGGCAGACGGAGCACAAGGTCAGAAGATCAAGACCATCCTGGCTAACACAGTGAAACCCCATCTCTACTTTAAAAAATACAAAAAAAATAGCTGGCCATGAGGGTTTGCACCTACAGTCCCAGCTACTCAAGAGGCTGAGGTAAGAGAATCACTTGAACCTGGGAGCTGGAGGTTGCAGTGAGCCAAGATCACGCCACAGATCTCCAGCCTGGGCAACAAGAGCAAAAGTCTGTCTCAGAAAAAAACAAAAAACAAAACAGAAATAACAGTTTTTCTAAACTTTTACTCCAGACGATTTACTTAACCCTTTTCCCATTTGCCCCAAGAATACTTCCCACCAGTGCCTGCAACTGCGGTGCTTACCCCAAGATAACTTTGCCAAAAAAATCTCACTTTTATTATTATTTTCACATTGCTCTAGTATACTGACTTTAGAAACAAAAGACATCATTATATTTATAGCATTCTGGTTTTAGTAGCGGTTATTTCCATTTACAAAATATAGTAATTCTTGGTTGGGTGCAGTGGTTCATACTTGTAATCCCAGCACTTTGGAATTTCAAGGCAGGCCATCACCTTAGGTCAGGAGTTTGAGACCAGCATGGCCAACATGGTGAAACCCTGTCTCTACTAAAAATATAAAAATTAGCCGGGTGTGGCGGCGCATGCCTGTAATCCGAGCTACTCAGGAGGCTGAGGCAGGAGAATCACTTGAACCTGGGAAACAGAGGTTGCAGTGAGACAAGATCGTACCAATGAACTCCAGCCTGGGCCACAGAGCAAGACTCTGTCTCAAAAAAAAAAAAAAAAAAAAAAAAAGGATAGTAAATGTTCCAAGAATAAGCTTCACTTGCTAAAATGCCAAATACAAGGCAATATTTACAATAGAAGGTACCATAAGAGATCCAGGCAGTAAAAACCTAGGAACAACATGAATGTCTATCAACAATAGAACAGATAAATTGTGGTACATTTACCATGAAATATTATAGAGCAAAGAACCACAGGTTACATACATATAAATAAATCTCTCAAACATAATGTTAACCAAAAGAAGACAGAAGGCTGGGCATGGTGACTCACGTCTGTAATCCCAACAATTTGGGAAGCCGAGGCAGGCAGATCACCTGAGGTCAGCAGTTCAAGACCAGCCTGATCAACATGGTGAAACCCCATCTCTACTAAAAAATACAAAAATTAAGTTGGGTGCAGTGGCTCACGCCTGTAATCCCAGCATTTTTGGAGGCCAAGGTGGGAGGATCACTGGAGGTCAGGAGTTCAAGACCAGCCTGGTCAACAGGTGAAACTCCATCTCTACTACAAATGCAAAGATTAGCTGGGTGTGGCAGCATATGCCTATAGTCCCCAGGTACTAGGGAGGCTGAGGCAGGAGAACTGCTTAATCCCGGGAGGCAGAGGTTGTGGTGAGTCGGGATCACTCCACTGCACTCCAGCCTAGGCAACAGAGTGAGACCATCACAAGAACCAAATAAAAAAACAAAAATTAGCTGAGCTTGGTGACGTATGTGCCTGTAATCCCAGTTACTTGGGAGGATAAGGCAAGAGAATCACTTGAACACGGGAGGCAGAGGTTGCAGTTAGCCAAGACTGTGCCACTGCACTCCAGCCTAGACAATACAGAGAGACACCATCTCAAAATCTCACACACACATGAAGACAAAGGAATGGCCAGGCACAGTGGCTGATGCCTGTAATCCCAACACTTTAGTAAGCCAAAGCAGGAGGATCATTTGAGGTCAAGAATTTGAGACCAGCCTGGGCAACATAGTGAGACACAATCTCTACAAAAAAATAATTAACTGGGTGTGGTGGCACACATCTGTGGTCCCAGCTGAGGCTGAGGCAGGAGGATCGCCTGAGCCCAAGAGTTCGAGGCTACAGGAAGCCATGATCACACCACTGCACTCTAGCCTGGGCAACAGAGTGAGACCCTGTCTCAAAATAAAAGAAGAAGAAGAAGAAGAAAAAGAAGAATATATACTATACAATCATATCAAGTTGATATACAGTTATATCAAGTTCAAAAAGAGGTTAAATTAATTTATGCTGTTACAAGTAAGGCAACTGAAATACGAGTAAAGTTCTGTTTCCTGATTAGGTACTGGTTACACAGATGTTTTCTGTTTGTAAAAAATTTACTGAGCTGAATACCCATGCACTTCTCTAAAGTTTGCCAGAATACTGGCTAGGTGCAGTGCCTCATGCCTGTAATCCCAGCACTTTGGGAGGCAGGCTGATCACCTGAGTCAGGAGTTCGAGACCAGCCTGGCCAACATGGTGAAGCCTCGCCTCTACTAAAAATACAAAAATGAGCTGGGTGTGGTGGCACATGCCTGTAATCCCAGCTACTTGGGAGGCTCAGGCAGGAGAATCACTTGAACCTAGGAAGCAGAGGTTGCAGTGAGCCAAGGTCATGCCACTGTACTCCAGCCTGGGCGACGGAGTGAGACTCCGTCATAAATAAATAAATAAAGTTTGCCAAAATAAGCCATTATCAGCAGTTACTTCTAGTGGGAATACTATTTTTTTTTTTTTTTTTTGGGATGGAGTTTTGCTCGTTACCCAGGCTGGAGTACAATGGCGCGATCTCGGCTCACCGCAACATCCGCCTCCTGGGTTCAGGCAATTCTCCTGCCTCAGCCTCCTAAGTAGCTGGGATTACAGGCACGCGCCACCATGCCCAGCCAATTTTTTGTATTTTTAGTAGAGATGGGGTTTCACCGTGTTGACCAGGATGGTCTCGATCTCTTGACCTCGTGATCCACCCGCCTCGGCCTCCCAAAGTGCTGGGATTACAGGCTTGAGCCACCGCGCCCGGCTGGAATACTATTAATAATTTCCAAAACATCGTCTTAGTGCTTATCTGTATTCCCTAAATTTTCTACAAAGAAAACATACACACAGAGGTAAGCATTCATTTATACTCCTATGACATTATATGCAAAGTCTGAGGTAAAGCCAGTAAAATGAAGAAAATAGGGTGTTTTATATACGAACTGTGTTGCAGGTTAGATTCTCCAGGAAGCAGATGCTAAACAGAATTCAGAATGAAAAAAGTTTAACAGGAAGTCATTTTTGGAAAAAGTGCAGAAGCAGCAGGATTGCGTAGGAGGAGCCATTAGATCACAATGCAGGCCTGACAAAGCCTGTCCAACAGAGAGCCAGGGAGCAAAGACGGCCACTCAGGGGGAATCTAGTACTGGGCAGAAAGGGCAAGGCTCTTATATCACTGCTTCACTCAACCGCTGGCAGGAGGCCACTCTGAGAAGAGCATGACCTTGGCTCCAAAGCTGAGGCAGACCCTAAAGGAGCTAACAGCTTCAGCTAGCCTCCTTACAGATGGACAGTAAGTCCTTTTAAAGGGATAGTAGAGTTAATTTTATTATTTTTAATACATTTATTCCTCTTGCTCCACACACATCTACCCAGACCATTTACTATACCATTCCACTTTATAAATTTCCAGCATTAGCATTCCCTCTAGCTCTGATGAAAGGGAGAATAATAGGGGTCTTCTCTTCCCAGTTCTTCCCAGAGTTGGGAAAAGCTTGATTGAGAGAGCCAAAAAAAGACAAAAAAAAACAGACAGAAGAGAGGAGTAATCTCAAAATACACTTTGGGGCTTTGAGAAAGGTCTGAAATGTTCCAAAAAGTGAAGGAGAAGGGAGAGCAGAGAACAGAAACCTTCTACTTCATATCTACCACTGCAATAATTCATGTACTAACTATGTTTAACACCTTTCAAAACGGAAAGAATCACATTAAGGAAAATGAAAACATGAACTCATAAAATTGCTTCCAAGATGATTTGTCTATCTAAGTAGCTAAAAGCTCATGATACTGCAAATGTGTCCGAGCAAAGCAGCTGCTAGAATCTTAGTGATAATCAGCAATTGATGGCTACTTGGAAAGAGTGGAGTGGCTTAAGTTGACCTCTTGGTGTGGGGGAAAGGCAGTGACAGTAGGAAGGGAGCAATTCCCTTCATTCCCCCAAAACAGAGAAGACTATTATAACGGGTTTCCTGAAAACTGTATTAGAAAAACGTTCCTAGATATTTAGGCCACCTTCCATGCTCACACGGGTAAGGCGTTTTTCAACACGACGGACTCGCTAGAGGGAGGCCTTTCGATCAACAGAGACCTCCATTTCCAGCCCCAATTCCTATCCTAAAACGTACAGTCGCCAAGCACGGTGGCTCACGCCTGTAATCCCAGCACTTTGGGAGGCTGATGAGGGTGGATCCCCTGAGGTCAGGAGTTCAAAACCAGCTTGGCCAACATGGTGAAACCCCATTTCTACTAAATGTACAAAATTAGCTGGGTGTAGTGGCGGACAGGTCATTAGGTCAGGAGTTCGAGACCAGCCTGACCAACATGGAGAAACCCCATCTATACTAAAAATACAAAATTACTGGGCGTGGTGGTACACGCCTGTAATCCCAACT